ATATATATATATATATATATATATATATATATATATAAATAATATATCTCCAGAAAAAAATACACTATAAAAACAAACAAAAGTCCTCATGAACTTTGCGAGAGTTACTGGGTAGAGTTTAAGGTATCAGCGCACGCAATGCACACATACACATAAATGGTAAAGCTACACAGAAAAACAGACCAAATGAGATAAGGAAAGGCTTTATAGTATAGCAACTCAGGGTAAGCAAAAGGTAAAACCCCCACAAATCTTTAAATAATGACAGGAATCTATAGTAGTTACCCTACTATAAAATGAGTGATTGAATTAGATATTAAGCAAATTTCCTCACCTAAGATATGAAGAAATAATATTCAATAACTAAATAAACTTTACTTTTAACATTAAAATATGCAATAAACAATCAGATATATGTATTAACATTAAAATATGCAATAAAATAATCAAATGCAGTTAGCTGCATTTTAAAATTTATTTTTATTTTAATTTTTTGTGCAGTGCTGGGAAGCCAACTCACTCAGGGCCTTGAGTACGCTAGGCAAGCACTCTACTACTGGTCTATATCCCTAGGCTGTTAATTAGCTTGATGTACAAATATACAACTAGATGATTTCACTTGACTAATTTAAAGATAATAATTTCTTTTAAAAAGGTGAAAAAGGGCTGGGGATGTAAATCAGTGGTAGAATGCTTGCATAGAAAGAGAGAGTACCTTGAGTTTGATCTCCAGTATCCTCCCCCCAAACACACACACAAAGTGAAAGAGCACCTTTAATGGCTGAAGTTTGCTGCTGGAAATACTCATATTTAGCTTATTGTTGTAAGACTAATTTCTTATTTGCTTTGTTATCAACCAGGGTGACCTTGTTTACCAAATTTAAGTGCTAGAAAAGGGCAGCACCTCTTGAAGGAGTTTTAAGACTTAAAAAGAGAACAGTATTTTATATGTTGTGTACCTTAGTGACAAATTTGTAGCTCTTTTGTCAATTAAGGAATTCGTTTGATAAAGAAACGTATCACTTATTTAAATTAGTAAATTATTTTATTTATTTATTTATTTTTTGAGAGAGAGAGAGAGAGAGAATTTTTTAATATTTATTTTTTTTAGTTTTCGGCGGAGACAACATCCCTTTTTTGTATGTGGGGCTGAGGATCAAACCCCGGCAGCACGCATGCCAGGCGAGCGCGCTACAGCCTGAGCCACATCCCAGCCCAAGTAAATTATTTAAAGAGAACCAAAAAAAAAAAAAAAAAAGGTTAGATTGACAGAGAAGTGTCATAAATTGGTTGGGTATCCCTTACTTGACAGAGAAGTTACAATTGGGTATCACTTACTTGGGTGGCAATCATTCATCATATTTGGTTTATTCACCTGGTGCCTGAAGACATTCAAGATCTGTAATCCCTGTTAGAGATTACCAATTGCAATAACAGTCATTGTTCCTGTTTCAACAGCACGTGTTTTACTGCTACAGGTATTAAGTTTTGAAATCTACACAGGATGTACTACCTGGAGCTTTTATTTATCCATTGAGACAAGTACCCAGCTCTACATTCCCACTGCCTTTAGAACCTCTCAATGGTGATTTTGATTAAACAAACAAAAAAGCCACAAGTTCCTTTACTTCTCTAAGCACACAGAGTGACCTACAAAGTCTGGGGTGACAGGATGTAGACAGTGTGGGGGGCTGGTCCCAAAAAGACAAGAGGGAGCGGAGAGTGGTCTCTTTGGTCCTGGAATTATGGGACGCAGCAGGGACCTGATCAAGGTGAGGAAAGGGAATGGGAACCCGGCTGAGGGTGACCTGACAGGGTCCGGGGTCACGGGACAGGGCGGGAATGGATCTGGGCGTAACACAACTGAGGACGAGACAGGAGCTCAAGGGACCGAGTTGAGGTGGCAAGGTGGAGCTGGGAGTGGGTCAGGGAGTGACAGGACAAAGCCGGGAGCAGGTCCCGGGATAATAGACCTTGCGGAGGGCAGGTCCGAGAGTCACAGGATGGATTGGCGAGCCGGGGGCGGGCCCAGGAATTACAAGACGAATCGGGGAGCGAGTTCTGGGCGACTAAATAGTCCGTTAAGCGGGTCCTTGAGCGACGGGACGGAGCGGGGAGAAGGTGCAAGAGTCATAGAACAAAGCGGGGAGCGCGTCTGGGTCACGGGACCGAGCGGGGAGCGGCCCGGAGTGGGGAGACTGCCGATACTCGCCCGGGTTCCAGACACGGTGTCCAGCTCCCCCCTCGCCCAAGGCGAGCCTTACGATCGATGCAGGAGGTCAAGCTCCGGTAGCCGCTGCTGGGGACCAGGAGACTATAACGCAACCGCCCGAGGCGCACCCCGAGGTTCCGGTATCCGCACCACATCGCCACTGCTCTTTCCTTAGCCAGAGCCAGTGAGCCCTAGAGCTCCACGACTTCTTTTCAGTAAGGATCTGCGGCAGGCGGCCTCTGCCCCCACTGCACCCTGGGAGTTGTAGTCCCTCAGAAGCCTTAGCAGCCGAGGTGTCAAGCAGAAAGACACGGCAACTGAACTACAACTCCCAGAGATGCTTGGGGCTTCGGCGCAACGTTGGCGTGTCCGCCACAAAGCCCCTGGGATGCCTTGTGGGTCTGGGGCACCTAGCGGTCCATTTTGCGGAGCTTGGGGTTGGTGTTTTGAAAGAATGGTTATGGGGATAAGGCAGGGCTCAAGGGAATACTTGGGAAGAGTTTAACGGCAGGCTATTCGAGATGGAAATGGCACAGTTAACGGAGGGAAGGATTTGAAACCCTTAAACACAATTATCTGCTCTTAGCAAAGTTGGAGACTCTTTGGACTTCCTCGCGTCGTCTCCATCTTGCTCTGCGCGGGTTTTGAAGGGCAGTGGAGTTCCTTTTTGAATCTCCCTTTTGATTTCAGAACCCTCTTCATTTTAGCCACATGCAGAGAGAGACCATGCCGAGACCCCGGAAGAGACCAGCCGGGGCTGCTGGCCCAGGTGAGCTGCACTGAGCCTGCAAAGAGGCGACCCCCAAAAGAGTGTTTCTCTGGGGCCAGCTTAATACTGTTCATATTCTTTCCTGCTTGTGGAGAGAAGCCTTTGAGACTTGCCTGTTATTCCATCATCCCTTATCACCTTTCATCTTCTTTATTCTTCCCACCAAGGTTCTACCCAACGCCCCTTCAGCTTGCTTGTTCATCCAGTTAACTAAGGATATTTGCGTTATGGGTGGCATGCGCTGGGGTAAAGAATATAATTCTTTTGCGACAACATGGATGGAACTGGATATCATTAAGTAAACGAAAACAAAAGTATGATATGTGGAATCTCAAAAAGCTTTTCTCACAGAAGTTGAGAGTAGAACAGTGCTTACCAGAAACGGGAAAGTTGGGGAGAGGTTGATCAGTGGGTTCTAATTTAAACATCTAGTGTGCTATTACACAGTAGGGTGACTATAGATAACAATAATATACTGTACATTCAAAAAGTGGGAATAAATGATTTTGAACGTTTTGACCAAAAAGAAATGATAAATGTTTGAGGAGACATATGTTTAACCCAATTTAACTATTACATGTATACGTGTATCAAAACATTACATGGAACACCATTGATGTGCACATGTTTTATGCCTCAGTTAAAATTTTTAATTTTAAAATTTAAAGATTTTTAAGGGTAAACGCAAACAGGTGTAAGTGAAAGGGCCTGGAAGACTGAATTATTGGAGGTATGAGAAGAGCCAGGAATACTAGGGAAAGCCTTGGGAAGGAAGTGGAATTTGAGTCCAGCCTTAAAGAACAGGAAGGCTTTCTACAGGCAAAGTTTTAGTACCCAGAAAATGTGATGTCACTTCTGTATTCACAGAGATGAATGGCATGCTAAGTGAATGAAAGGCAGAAATAAAGCAGTGGAAGTGACTCTTAGGAATGGCAAGAGTTCCAGATTGACTAAAATACATAGTTATTTAATAACACATGGTGTTTGCAGTGTGCTTGTTAACTCTTAAGGACTGCTGAGAAGTTGGGCAAGGAAGGTATGCTGAGTCCAGAGATTTAGACATCCATAAATGATTAATCTTTTAACCTCACATGTTGAAACTTTTACTAAACTCGGAGACAGTACAGTACAGTCAGTCATTAAGCATAGATTCAGACAGACCAGAGTGGTAGGCCCTGACCTCGTATCGTGGTTCTGTCATAACTGAATTGTGATCTGGAGCACATTTTCCAATTGAAGAATAGAATATCTCATACATTATGTATCTTAACTGAGTTAGGGTTAGAGTAACATGTATAGCTTGGGGCCTTGGATAGAGATTTTGGGGTGGGTGGGTACCGGGATTGAACTAAGGGGTACTCAGCCACTGAGCCACATCCCCAACCTCTATTTTCTATTTTATCTAGAGATAGGGTATCACTGAGTTGCTTAGTGCCTCACTTTTTGGTGAGACTGGCTTTGAACCTGCAGTCCTCTTGTCTCAGCCTCCAGAGCCTCTAGGATTACAGGTGTGCGCCACCAAGTCTAGCTAGGGGTCTCGGATATAGTATGAACTTAACAACTATTAGTTTTGAGGACTCACTGTATCCCAGGCACATTTTCTCTAATTCTCTTAGGACAAAATCCAGTCTTTACGGATGTCTTTAAGGACCCACATGAATCATTTTTTTTCCAGTTTTTCTTGGCATCTTGAAGAGCAAAAATAAAGTACAGTGAGCAAGAGGGAAGGATGGATGAAATGATGACAATAATGGATATTTATTGAGCATTTATTATAATGCCAGGAATTTTCTAAGCTTTTTGGCTGTTTCCTCACTGGAAAGAATAGCCAAAGTAAAGGCACAGAAGAGACAGAGAGGGAAGGAAACATTTACTGACTGCTACTAGGACCCATTAGTCTTAATCCTCTAAGGTGTTTTTTTTCTCACTGAATCATAATCCAGAATATATCCTGAAAGACAGGCATTCTTGTCCAGTTTTTATAGATAAACTGAAGTTTTTTTCTTTATAACACTAGAGGCTACAGCTAGTTTTTGCAGGATCCAGGATTTGAATCCAGGTGTGAGACCAAAGGGTAAACTGCACAATAGAACATTACCACTCAGCAAGCATTGATAGTTCTTTGCTTTTTGTTTCTCCTGTAGAAAAGAACGGGCAATCAGAAAAACATACCAAATTTGAGAACTCAGGTGAGGCATCAGCAAAAGTGGAGAACTCCAGCCCTCAGAAGACTTCAGTCTTTAAAAACTGTGGGAGGAATCTAAGCAACTACTGGCTGATGAAATCAGAGCCAGAGAGCCGACTAGACAAAGGTGTAGATGTGAAGGTGAGATTGTGTACCTTTGTCCTATCTCATTATGCGGTTTTAAAAATGAAAGGTTAATATGGGATACCATTGGGTTCCATCACCAGCATCTCATCTTCAAAGAGTAAGAAAGGCAAAATATGAATAAAATCAACAGAATTTATTACCATCAAGTACAGATTGAGTATCCCTTATCTGAAATGCTTCAAATCAGAGGTGTTTCTGATTTTGGAGTTTTTGGACTGTGGAATATTTGTTTAGACTTTACAGATTGAACATCCCTAATCCAAAACATAATCTAAAATCCAAAATGCTCCAAAGTCCAAAACATTCAGATTTTTTAATTAGGCATGTTCAGCTTATTTCTGTTTAATTGTTCGATGAATCCTCTATGTAGTCAGGGGCTAGCAGACTTTCTGCAAAGGGCCAGACAATAAATACTGTAGACTACTGTGTCTTATATTCTTTCATTTCTGCCCTTGTAGCAAGTAAGTGCTAATAGCACATAAACAGATTTGGTTCCTATAATACTTTATTTATAAAAGGAGGTATGGGACTAGATTTGGCCTAAAGGTTGTAATTTGCCAATCTTAATCTTAGCTTGCTTTACTCTTACCACTTGCCATGCTCCTAGGTGTCTCCCTGCCAGCAGTTGGTATATATTCAAGGAATGAATATAAACCCATTTTGATAGCCTGGAGAAAATGTAAATAGAAATATTATAGAAGAAATACATAATACTTTAATAAGTAAAATGTAGAGAACCAACAGATTACTTTAGCATCTGGATTATGCATTCAGCTGGTCCTTTTAATTAGAAGAGATAACAGTATAACACAAGGCTTACCTATATTCACTCATCATCAGTGGCTCTGTGATGAACTTACATATTTCCATTATAGCCTGTAGTACCTCTCAATGTTGGGAAGGGACTGTCTACTTCCAAATATGCCTATTAACTGGCCAAGGATTGTTTAGTGAATGCTTATTTTCTCTTACCTAGTTTAGCATTGAGGATCTCAAAGCACAGCCCTTGCAGACAGCATGCTGGGATGGTGTTCGTAACTACCAGGTAAGAGGACAGATAAAAGGCAGGAATCCTGAGACTTAGGGCAGGATAAATGCCTGCCTGGTTCTTGTGACTTGTTCAGCTACAGAACCTTTTGGCCAAAGTTGCTTTTCCCAGAATACTTAAATCCTTACCTGAAAGTGTTTTCAGAAATACGTGAATTACTCTGACTTTATGAAATCTACAAATGGCCTGGTTCTAACCAGTGTCCTGGTATAAATCTGGGAGTCTCGGCAAAGGGGACAGACTTATGAATTGGGGGGAAATTAAAAACAGAAAAGCCCACCTAATGAAAGTAGACTTAATTTCTGTTTAAAGCTAGCACTTCCCACTGGTGGGAAGGATAATCCTTATTTCTTCTCTCCTGGGACAGGCATGAAACTTCCTTAGAGCTATGAAGCTGGAGGAAGAAGCCTTCTTCTACCATAGCAACTGCAAAGAACCAGGCATTGTAGGACTTATGAAGGTTAGATGGACAGGTTTTAACCTAATTTCTCTCCCTACAGAGTGTCTTATTCATGTATATTTAAAGTGATATACCATAAATTGGTAATATTAAAGACCATAGTCAGAAGAACAGAGAGAAAACTGCTGTGGCCCCTTTCTATATGATAAGGACTAGAAAAAGGTAGGCCTTCATTTAAGGCTCATTAGCATGCATTTTTCTCCATCTCTAATCCTTGGTTTCTCACTCAGAAACAAGCCTGATAGCTCTTTCAGGATAAAAGAGCTACCAGGATAAAATCATTGACTCTGCATTTGGTGGGGTGGGTGGAAATACCAATGATAACCATTACCATTGAGTTTTAGAATATGCTTCTAAACTTTTATATTTAAAAAATAGTTGATTTCCTAACTGTACTTCCTTAGGCTATGTATTATTTCTAGATATTTGAATCCTGATTGATGAGAGCAAGGCAGATGGAGTAAGAATATGTAGGGTAAGAAGTCAAAGTTAGATATGTATTAAAGATTGGCCATGGAGCTGACCAGGCAGACAAATAATTGGAGACTTTGGGTTTGGTTTCAGATTGTAAAGGAGGCTTACCCAGACCACACACAGTTTGAGAAAAACAGTCCCCATTATGACCCATCCAGCAAAGAGGACAACCCCAAATGGTCCATGGTAAAGACAATTCTTCCTGTTTCATGAGAAGGGAATGATGGACAAAGGAAGGAGGAAGGTGTGTGGTGCTATTAGGTCAAGCTCTTATTCAGATGAGATTACACTGACTTTTGGAGGTTAGAGCAGAACATTAGCAGTGCTGCCAATGGGAGCCTCCCGCAAGCAGTAAAAACAGTGGGTGGGCATAATGGCATGGGTGTGACTATATGCTCTGCTGATGGAGAAACTGAGACAGGAGGATTGCTTGAGTCTAGGATTTCAAGCCCAACCGGGGCAATGTAGTGAAACCCATCTCTTAAAAAAAAAAAATGCAGTGGGCAGAGTTTGGATAACCATAACTTTCTGTTCAATAAACTGTTGTCACCTAGGTGGATGTACAGTTTGTTCGAATGATGAAGCGTTTCATCTCCCTGGCTGAGCTTAAAACCTATCACCAATCTCACAAGGCTACTGGTGGCCCCTTAAAAGATATGGCTCTCTTCACTCGCCAGAGGCTCTCAGTCCAGCCCCTGACCCAAGGTAAGAGTGGGCCCTTTCCCTTACCCACATAGCAGAAATGACCTCACAAATTCACATTTACTAACTGATTAAACTTGGGCACAGTATTAAACCTCTAAGTCACTGCCCTCACCTGTGGCACCAAGGGAGGGACTATGTCCTGAGTTACCCATAACTATGTATCTAGTATCCAACAGTGCTTGGCATTGGTAAGAAACTCCATAGTTTTTGAATGCCTATTTTGGCAACATGTAAATTACCTATCAGTGATGGGTATTAACTTCCCTGTTCAAGAGGGAAGGGACATGAAACCTAATGCTTCCTTTTTGTTCTTTTTGGTAGAAGAGTTTGATTTTATTTTGAGCCTGGAGGAAAAGGAACCAAGTTAACTGAAACAGTATTGCTGGAATGGACAAACCATTACTCTAAAGATGGCGAGGTTTTATTAGACAAAGGATGGTGTGTGAAGGCTTATGTGTGCATTTACCTGAGATCATGTACACAGATTTTTTTTTTCCCTACTTCTTTCAATAAAACATTTAATGTCAAATTTGGAAAGCTTTTCTTCTAAAACTTTAGTGGGTATAGTGGAATACACCACTGCAAAAGATCTCTTATCTCCCTTTGTCACTTGGAAGACTCAAGGCACCTCTACCATCTGCCTTTATTGTTGTTCACAGTTATATAGCAGATAGCAGGATTTAGGGCTGAGTCCTTTGGTCAGTTACACCCTCCAAAACATGTGGGGTTTCACAATACCAACCTTCTTCGCCTGCCTCTTTTAAGTGCTCTGGGTCCTACAGCAGTTCTTAACCAAGAACTTATTCTAAAGTAGGTGGTTAGTAAAGTGCTCAGCATTGCTCACTAGGGGCTCTATTCTGAGAAGATGCTGTATTGGAATTAGGGTGGGCATCTACCTTTCCTGAAGATAGGAGTTGGGCAGTGTAAGACAGAAAAGACCACAGAACCTGGTGGACCTTGGGCACAATGCCTCCAAAGCCACAGGGGCTTCCTTTAATTAGACCATTAAAACAAGTGTTCTTTTAAAATACAGCCATTGAAAAGACAACACATTAAGAAACATGTAAACACTGCAGCTTCTTAATTACAAGTTGCACTGCTTGGTTTAGTACCTATGCACTCCCAGGTCTGGGGACCTTAAAGGAGGGGGACAGGAGACCCCTCACTTTCACAAATGGCAGAGAATAGAGAATGGGGGAAAAAACAGAGAAAATAAGACCTGGCTTGTGCACAGCTCCTGAGAGAAAGCAAATTCTATCTTCTAATTCTCCCAGAAGGAAGGTTGAAGATGTTAGGAAAAGTTGGGAAATGAATTTGTGTCATCAGTTGGGAGGCAGAGGAATTGACAAATGCTTTTTAATTAGAATACCAGCTATTAAAGGGAGGCACACCAGAGCCCAATCTCATACTCTGAAAAAGGCAAGAGCACAGAATCTGCCTCTCTGCTTAAGCCTCAGCCTTGACAATCCAAGGGCAGCTGGATGGGAATGCTGTTCCCATGGGGATTGTATGTCGCACCTGAACTCAGGGTCTGGCATGGGGGAAACAAATTTGCCTTCTTTGATTCTGCTGCCACCTGTCAACCACATGTCACCCCAAATGTCTTCCCCTCATCTCAACTCTGATCCATGGGCCCTGCCCAGTCAAGGCCTAAGATTGCACATATTTCTGAAAAAACAAGGATTCCCCTTTTTCTGCACTAACTGAAACATGAGATAGGAACGAAATTTTCTACTGTCCAAATAACCAAGAACTCAGACCACCAAATATTGGCCAATGGGGTCTGGTTGGTCTTTCTGTAAAGGGAAGGGAAGCCAACAGAAGAGTAATTCCTGGTCATCCCCAGTGAGGCAGAAAAGACTATTTTAACTACTATAGGCCCAAGAACAGAGCAACAGGAAAATCTGCCCCTTTCTTTAGCATAACTACATCCACCAGAGTTTTTATATTTGTGTTTTTAAACAAACAAACAAAAAATACCAATGATCCTAAACTTAGGTCAGTGAATTGGTGATGACATAGATGTAACTTGGCAAGCAAATTACTGAAGTTTGTGGCATCAGAGTCTGCTATTGGGGCCCTCATCTCCCTTATCTTGTAGGTGATGAGGAGTGAAGGATCTTGGGGTGAAAGTAAGAACAAAATTTCAAAGTGTTTGAAATCAAGCCCCAATTCTTAGAAGTTGGATAGAGACAAGGAGTGATAAGGGTCCACTGTTAGAGAGCAAAAAGGATCCTGGCCCCTTTCCAGGATATCTTCTTAAAGGAAATGGACTCTCTTGCTTAGGGCTTGTTAGGGCACATAGAATAATGTGCCTAGAACAACCCAGACCTCAGGGTTGCCAAGCCAGTTACATGGTGAAAGCAGACAGTTGCCATTGCCTTAACCCTTCCTCAGTAGGCCTGGCTCAGCCTCTTGGCATCCATGCATGACATTAACCTCTGAGCTTTTTTGCGCACAGGTATTTCTCACTGGTGAGGGACAGATGACCCCAGGCACTTCCACAGGTTTCTGTCCCAGAACATTCCTACTAGCCAGAGAAGATGCAGAAAGGAGGTGTCTGGTGCCAGCAGTGAAAGGCCAGAGAGAAGGTGGCATGTGGAAACCTCAGAGCACCACATTCAAGATGCCCAAAAAGGTAGCTTCCTGATCTACCCCCAACCCTGCCCTTTAGATGGGACAGGCCCAAATCCTTCTCCCACTACCTCAGGGACAGTCAAGGGGAGAATAAGAAAAATGACTACCGAGGGCCCTGCTGGCAGCTTTGAATTCCAGGGACATGTTCATATCCTGTATCAGGAAGCCCAGAGAACTAGAAGCCAAGGACACACTTTCGGCTCTATGATAAGAGGCAGCCCATGAGGAAGGCCTCAGCAGACAACTTATTCCCCAGGGAGAGATTAGCTTCCAGGATGCTCCTCTCCCTATCCCACATCAGCCACAGAATCCCAAGGAGACTGCTTTCTAACCCAAGCCCCTTAGGTCCTTCAGAGAAAAGAATTTAAGTCAAAAACATGAATTGTTTTCAGGTTGCAAGTAACGGTCAGCTGAGCCTCATACCATCTCCCCCTCCCCCAGCCGCTGGTGTTTGGTAGATGGGGGTGCTGGGTAGCTTCTTGGCCCAGAGGCCTACTGCCTACTGTTGTTGTCAGACAGCTGGCTGGGGGTCCGCACCTCACCCAGGGAGGTTGTGCCCTCGAAGCGCTGTGAAGCGATGGCTGCCTGGTGGGACATGCTCTTCCGTACGATGTCACCCTTCCGCCACAACACCACTTCCTGCAGAATTGGGAGAGGGAGCAACTTGATACCTAAGAGGAAGGCTCAGAGATGGGTTTCCCAGAAGCACCCACATTTGTCTTGGGGAATCTTGGGCAAGAACCTCCCCTGGTTCTCTCTCAACAAAGCAGTGGTTGTCAGTACCTCCCATCCCTGGTATAGGTCAGAATAGTGTGGCAGTTGCAGGAGTCAGGCCTAAGAAAACATACTCTGGGTATCAAGTAGGAACCGTCATTCCTGCTGTGTTATTCTGGGTAACTTAATATTTCCAGCTCTTGGACAAATAACAAGTAGCATACAGACTTAGCAGCTCTCTTACCATTTTGCTTAGTGTAAAATACAGATTCCTCCATGGAAATGATATCCTTTCTGTTCTGTCCCCAGGGTATCCAGGGCCCTGGTGGAAGCACCTCACCTGCTGCTTGAAGTAGCGCCGTTCCTCCTCATCTATCAGCACCAGGTTGAGGTAATAGCGCACAGAGAACTTCTTGTTAATGTCCCGCATAGTGGGTGTAAGCTCATACCCTGCCAGGAAAAGCCGGATTGGGATGGACTCTCCTGTAAAGGAGCAAAGTGAGGAATGAGGGCAAGGGACAAAGTGAACTACTCTGCCTTACATCAAATCCCTCTCTGACCACAGTAGATGAGATGCCAGCTGAGCATGGCATGAACCCTAAGCAAATGCTTCTGCCTTTTGAGACTGCATTCTGCTGCCCAGTAGTTTGCTGAAGCAAAAATGTGACTCCAGTTTCATTTCAGTATTGCTGTGTCTTCTTAATATCCTCTCACCATTCTGATGCAGAAAACAGGGAGGAACAGTTGAATATGAAAGGCACAGGGATGTTATTGTTAAGCATATTTTGATTACAAGCAAAGTGCCTAGTTACTGGGTTTTCAAGAGGCAGTTGTCAAACCCCAGCTGCTATAAGATGTCATTCAGCAATTATAATGCCATCTCCCTCCATCTTGGTTACTATATGCCCTCAGAATATATCTCCACTCTAATGTGAATTGACAGCAGGTGGGGGTGGTCTGGAAAACAGGAAATTCTCATTCTAGACCCTGTTTTCCATTAACCAGTTGTATGACTTCTGAGTAAACCTGTGGCTTTCTCTTGATTTTCTCACATGAAAACTGAGAAAATCCAACTGCACAATATTTTAAATCCCTTCTAGCACTGATATTGTACCTTTCCTAGATAAAGAGTAACAAAATTAGGTCAGAAATTCTACTGAAAAATGACAAACCTATAATATGAATGATCTTTGAGTTATCTGCTATTTTGTCTTGTTTCCCAATGCTCCAATTTATTTGTCAAGGAGAAATAATAGTTGGCTTTACTTGCAGAGCTGGTCCAAAAATAGAATATCAGGAAGAGAAAAACTGGGCCCCAACTCTTCAAGGGGCTGGAGCAATGACACCTGAATCTGCTGAGAAGTGTCCCCAGGGTTGTGGGCTGCTTAATCTGTGGCACACCTCCTTCCACATGAAATGGACTGTGGGAATACTCTGGATGAACTCTTGGAAGGAATGAAATAAAATCTTGGAAAGACCAAGCAAGCACTTCAAAATGAGAAGACACATTGATTGCTACAGTCAATGAAGAATACAAGTGATTGCTACTCCCAAATAATCACAGATTCCCAAATAAAGAAGAAATTCAATTCCACTAATCCTAGATGTAATTATCTCCATGGAGGTTGGGGGAGGACCATTTCTAGCTGGTTCCCAGTGCTATCTGCAGCACCTGGTAGTATGAGTTAGTGTGGCCTATAGTCCTCTTTCATACTTGGTGAATGGATTCAGAGAATAAATCGTTTTTGTCAGAGATAGAGGCTGGTGGTTTAGCACTTTTCTGCTATGTGCAAGACCCTATATTTGCATCACAAAAATAAATTTTAATTTAATTAAAATAAATAATTGTACCAGAATTAGAATTAAGTAACAAAAAATGACTACCAAGCATGAAACTCAGTCTAAGCTACAAAGAATGACAGAATGTCAATAGGAAAAAGTTCAAACTATCTTTAAGTGTTCAAACTATCTTAAATAAGTACTTTTCAAATATTTTTCTAACAGGCTTTAACTCTTGAGATTAAATCTAAGATACAAGCCTAATGATATAAAGGAAGTCAGCATGGAGCTGTTCTCCATATTGGCAAAGATGGGGTAGGAACCAGAAATTCCACAGATTCAGCCTTTCTTTTCCTCCTCATCAGCACCCATTAAGTACAACTAGAGATTAAGAAGTCATAGGTTAAAAGGACATCTCAACTCAACAGTGTAATCCCATCAAGCCCTTCCAAAATTCTGTACAGGATTGAGGAGAAAAGGCTGCAGCTGAGGCCCTGGGCCAGGAGACTCACCTCGTACTGGTGCCCCATCCATGATCTCGTACTTGGCTATCGTGTCGTTTTCGTGGTACACGTTGGGGCCTGTGCCCGTTGTTTCCCGTTTGATGATGTCTATCTCCATGTGCTTTATTTTGATTCTCACCAGCAGGAAGTATATCTTTCCTACAATGACATCTTTCAAGTGGTATCTGGGGAAGAGAAAGACAAGCAAAGTAAGATGTTGGTATAGTGGATGGTCTCTTTTTGTTTGTGTAGAGAGCACACTGCCGTGGCCATGCATGTTGGTTGGAGGTCCAGTTTCAGGGCACACTCCCTTGTCTTCCCATCCTCACTACTGTGGTAGAATGGTTTTCCAGTATGTTCTTTTCATGAATCTTTTTTTTTTTTTTTTTTAAGAACATTGTAGTTATACTTCCTAAATCTTAAGTGTCTTCTACAGCCAATTCAAAGGATAATACATGCTACTTTACCTGTTCATATTTGTTCATCAGTTTTATCTCCCCAGCATACACCTTTTATATTTGTGTATGTGTTTTTTATGTGTGTTTTTCTAATATTTAAGAGGCCAGCCCTTAAAAACACAGGAACCAGGTCTATCTGTCTTTCTGTCTTTGGTAACTGGGCCTCAGTGGCTTACAGCAAACATTTCAGTTTGCTCTGAACTGGACAGACCAGGCACATATAGTAGAGTGAGAGAAGTGGAACTCCCTCTGCATCAGTGCCTATTCTGGGCTCTGCTCAATGACTTGTGCTCTGTGAACTAAAAGGAATTCAACCATATTATATAACACTTTCTCACTCTTCAAACTTTTCTTTAGGTCAGCCCATAGCACTGGTAGTCTGTGGACAGAGCCCTGTATGGCAGAAAGATAGCAAACTCCAAACCTGAAGCTTAGACTCATGGGACATGGATGCTGTTAGGGACTTCAGAATTTAACTTGCTTATAATTCAGGTGAAAAAAAAGGAAGTTGGAACAGAGAGATCATTTGACTAGGATGTGCACAGAGGGCAGAGACATGAGGTGAACCCAGGTTCCTGGATCCCAGGCTTGAGTGTTCCCCACTATTTCACAGCACTCTTCTGCTTAGTCTGTTGGGAAGGCTACAGATAGAGTAGAAAAGCTCAGCACACTTGCAAAACAGCAGGAAACCACCTGCAACATTTCACAGGGACGCTTAGAAACCATGAATGCTAAAGTTTTCTAAACTTTGGCAAATGGAACATTCCTTTTTCTAAATGAAATCTCACACAGAAGCATAATTGTGTGAGAGTCATTAAAAATAGTTGAAGGAAGGAGGAAGGTCTAAGGGTCCTGATCCCTGTTTTTTTCCTTCACCTCACACTGTGTGTGTCTGAAGCCCATTGACCTAGTCTATACTCCTTATTTTTCAGATGAGTTACAAAAAATGGCTAACCTTAGTCAAACTTTTTTTTTTTTTCCTGTGCTAGGGACTGAGGTTAGGGCTTTGCACATGTTAGGCAGGCACTCTAACACTGAGCTACACCCTCAGTCCTTATTTTATTTTGAGACAGGGTCCTGCTAAATTGTTCAGCCTGGCCTTGAACTTGTGATCCTCCTGCCTCAGTCTCCCAAGTAGCTGGGATTTCAGGTATGCACCATTGTGCCCAACTTACCCAAATTTCTTAATGGCAGAATAGATCCTAATTCTTAGTCTTGGGTTCATTCTACTACATATAAATTATATATATTCTCATACAATACAATCTGTTGCAAGAAGAGCAGTGGTCTGTATTCATCCCCTGACTGCATGTAACTGCACCTTTATACACTAAATTCGGTCTTTTATACACTGCCAATTAATGGCTATTTTCAGCTCTTACAGGTGGCACTGTTGCTAGCCACTGCCTTCATGAGGTATTTGGGGCACAGTACAGGACCACACAAAGCCCTGAGGCAGTGATGATAAAAGAGAAGACTATTCCCATGTTGGGCCCAGATCAGCCTCCCTCTCAGCACCCCATTCCCTGGTTCCACAGGTGAGCCAAGCCAAGCCAGGTTGGTTCCAGGTCACACTAGTCATTTCAATGGGGACTCACTTGGCTCCAGGCCAGGGACAGAGGAAAAAAAAAAATCCATGTTTCTTTCATGCCTGTTCCAGGAATCAACTATGTTCCTGGTTTAAAAAATTCCATTACCCTTCAAAGGCAAATCATCTGACTCAGGTCCCTTTACCCCTAGCCTCTGGTTCACAGTGGGCATGGGGGAACCACAGTGAGAAATGTAATTGGAGACTTTGACATTTTTTTTAACTCTAACTAGAATATCCTTTTCACTTTCAGGTATTTGATTTTTAAACATTTTCTGGAATATACTTTTTTTTTTTTTAAAAAGATGGCCCTGAAACTGTCAGATTGCCAGAAAGTTTTGTGGTTTATAAGCAATTAAATATTTTGATATTTTTATAGTAAACAGTTTAATAACATACACAGCTTCACAATTTGCCAGCTAAAATAAAGCTATCTTAAGACTTTTATAAAAATAAATCAGGTGTTCTTTCCACAATTCATTTTAGCAAACCATTGTCAGTGTTTGGTTTCCTCACTTAGATTTCTAAAGAGAGTGAGGAAACAAATGATAATGGAATTGTATTCTCTGATTATTATCAACCACAGAAAGAAATAGCTTTACATTGAATCTAAAACAATTTTAAAGTTAGCTTGAATTTGAAAGGCATCTTAGGATGTTTAACTTAAATATACCATTTTAATTAAATGTAGTTTAAAGTAAAAGTTTATATTTCCTAGTCCATCTATCTGTAACCCACCTAACATATTCACTGTATTATTTATGTGGTATTCCTCCCCAAAGCAGGTCACATGAAGCAGTGACACTGAGCTCTTTGTCAGTTTGCATTCAGATCAAGTACTATCTTAACCTCCCAATTACTCCATAGCCTTGGTGCCCAGGACACTTACTTGGATTTATTGTACTCAAACTCAATGTGTAGGCAGTCCTCAATCCCAACTTCCATCTTGATAGAAGAGTTCAGCTCTGGGTATGTGCTGAGTGTGTGAACTACAATGTCCATCTCTTTAACAACATCATTGAGGCGGCGGCTGATAGTGGCTCGAAGGAAATAACTGTAGGAAATACAGCTTGTCATGAATGAACACTCCCAGTCTCCAGATGCTACCTAGATATAGGCAGCAAACTGACCCACTTAAGAGAACTCCTTACAGTAGTTCTTAATCTTTTGGGGCTTTCTGTCCTTTTAAGAATTTATGGGCCCTTCTCCCAGGAAATTCTGCACATGTGCACCTACACACAAAATTTTGCAACTATAATTCTAGGAAGATCAAAGATCTTCCCAAATCCCTTTTAGGAGCTTGGGCTTTGGTTAAGAATTCTGTTCTAAGTAAAAGTGATTTCTCGCTTCTGTACTCCAATAGTATGATATTCTTAGGTCTTTCATGACCCTTACCTCTATTTATTTCTTCAACTAACTCCCAGGTTTTTGAGTACAAGGATCTGTCCCATAACACAATTATATCCATATGCCTGTTCACTATATTCAATCAAAAAAACATTTTTCAAGTTCCTCATGGTTGAAAGAGGGGAATCGGAAATAAAGAAATTAAGTAAGCTATCCATTCAGCAAACTTATTGAGCTAAGTACTGTATTGGGCATAGAATGAATAAGATGCAGCTTCATGGGAAGCTTAAAACTCACTAGGGGAGATTGGCAAATAAACTTGAAAATTAGAACACATGGAAAGGGCTAATTCACATACTGTAATCCAGTGCTGTGGGGAAGGAAAAAAGGGCTTTCCAAGATGAACAAACCTTCTTGTAAAGCACCAGAGTCTGACTATGAATAGCAAAGAAGTCTCTGGCTCAACCTTGAAGAGGAGTTTGCTGTGCTTTGGAACAGGTTAGAAAGAAGACAGAAACCTTGCCCTTGAAGGTATAACAAGGCCAACCTCTGCAGCCAGCCACTTTTAACTGCCTTCCCCAGCATCCCTATTTCCTTGATGTGATGTGCTAATATCCTACAAAGGAGAATACAGCCCTTTAGTTATATTTTCTTGTAAACAACACAATCTTCAAGGCATGCTTAAGCATTGCTGGTGAAAGTTATAAAGATACGCTCATCAAATCAATTACACATTTGGACTTCTGTCCTCTGTATGGTATTAACTGCTTCCTGGCAATCCTTTTTAGTCATCTCAATAACTGTCACATTGCCCAAGACATTTGTTCTTAACCCTTTTAAACATTTTTTTTAAATCTTATTTTGAAGCAGGGTCTCTAAGTTGCCCAGGCTAGCCTTAAACTTGCAATTCCCCTGCCTTATCCTCCCCTGAGTAGCTAGAGTTTCAGATATGAGCCAATATGCCTGGAAATTTCTAACCCTTTTCTGTTTGCTCAGGTCCGGAGCTTAATCCCTGCCTGTGGAAGACATTGCTTTTTCCTCTACTAAGATGACAAAGAGCCAGGCCCAGTAGTGCATGCC